ACTGCAAAGATGTGCTAATAAAGATCGTTTCTCTGCCTATGTAACCTCCACATCATAAGTGGTGGCAGCTATGCGAGGAGACTTCAGAAACCAGGACTTTCCGGAGCTACTGACTAGCCCAAGGGATGAGGAGGGCTTGTCGGATGGCAGGGGTCAATCTTTCTCCTTGAGGGAGAGGGTGACGTCTTCCTAAGTCTTCACTGGTACACCCCAGAAGTAATGGGAATTGTGTCCCGGGTGTGGTGCGGTACCAGGCTGAAGGCAGCTTGTAGTGGAAGATGCACGTGCTGTGCTGTGATTGATGGCTGCTTCGCCTGCGTGAGCTCTTCCACCATCCACGGGCCTGCTGCGACTTGATATAATGTTCCAGTCACTTGTAGTCGACTCCCCTACAGGCTTTAGCTTTGAACCCCAGCTCCCTGGTTGGTCTCAGCATCTCTGGGATGGGAGCAGCCCCAAGGGGCAGCTGGTAGCTCTGCTTCTTCTCATCCTCTACTAGAATCTGCAGGCATAGATTCCAAGCAGCCTCCCCTGTCCCCAGCCGCTTCCCTTTCTTTCAAAGTGCTGGGTCCCTACCCAGGGTGCTTGGTAGCTGGAAGGTTGTTCACGTACACCTTGCAGAGTTGCATTGGCAGGTTCTGAACTTCATTCCTTGTTGTCGCCTCCAGTGCCATCTTTCTGAATGTGGATTTTGTGTCCACCCCTGCTCTGGGCTGGAAGTAACAAGTGAAAGGTGTGCGGTAGGGTTGGAGGCAGTTGAAAGTAGCCTAGCTGTTGGGCTTCCTGTCCTGGGCAGTGCCATGTTGGTGGCTGAAGGTGGGCTGGCTGTGCCCTTACCCCCTTGAGTTTTTAACAACACAATGTTGGTGGCTTCCTGCCTGTGCCCTGACTGACTTGGACACATGAGTGCCTGCCATGTATGTAGGTACAGGCCATTGAAGAGCAGTAGAGGGGCTCACTTTCCCTTTCTGATCCAACCATTTTTACTTAGGCCGTGTCCGCTAGGCCTTCTCCTTGATACCTAATTTTTAAATAACAGAAGCAAGTAAACTGAGACACAAACAAGAAAACCTAACCCTTGCCTCTAAACCCAGCATGTGCATGTTCTTGCTGGTTTCACGATAGAATTAGTTCATCTTTTGAATAGATGGGTGGGTTTCATGCAGTGCAGTGTGAAGCACTGGGCATTATGGGGACAACCAGAAGGCCCTGGATCTGGGCTGGGCCTGGTGTGCTCTCTATAGAGCTCATTTCCCAGAGTCCTCCAAAGAGAGACCTTGGGCTCTTAATTAGAAAGATAGATTTGAAAACCAGGGGGAGGTGAAAGAGTGGCTCTTCTTGGGAGAATGGCTTTCACATTCTGTAAATAAAAGTGGTAGACCCAGTTTGGGTTCTTGCCAGAAACTTTTATTTTCAAGCTGTTTATTTTAGGTCGCTTTTCCAAGTTTATATTTGGCAAAAGACACGCAAGTGCACTCAATGACTTCTGTTTGCTGATAGGAAAATCTCTGACTTTGGGTGATGTGGGGCAGGCAGTTACCAGCTTTCGGGAGGGTCTGCTGTTCCTCCAACAGGTGCCACGCTGGGTGTCCTGGGAAAACACTCAGGGCAAGGCTTGTGAGCTTCAGCGAGATGCCTCATGTTCATTTACAAGATGAGACATATGGGTAGAAACCCACAACTTGACTGGTGTGAAGAGATCTCTACTGACCTAACCAGGGATGGCATGAACATTAGAAAATAATAACAGTGGGTGCTGTGGATCACAGAGCTTTACATATAAACCACTGGGATAAAAGTAATAGTGACAGTGACGAGCCAGAAAACTGACCACTGTGAGGTTGCTGGGGTTCAACACATTGCTTTGCAGATTTGTTAAAAAAAATACTTTTTTTTTGGTTGGTTGATCCTGGGAAGTGCCTCACGAGGTGTTAAATCCCCACCCCTTTGTTTAATTTTTGTTTTGAGACAAGGCTTTGGTGTGCTGCCTAAGCTGGCTTTGAGCTTGCTGTGTTCCTACCTCAGCCTCCCAAGTAGCTGCGATTGCAGGTGTGTACTACCATGCCTTGCCTGGGAAGGAATTTTTGAAAAGAGAAAAAAGTGAACTTAATCGAGTAGTCAAGTATTCTAGGGAGGAGCACAGAAAGCAGTTCGTAGGGTTCTCTGTCATTTCTTGGTGCTGGAAAGGGAAGCCAGATTGTCTGCCTGTTTGGCTGGTGGCCAGCAGCCCCCTCCCCCTCATTCTCCAGGGCTGGAGCGTCCTGCTGGTGCACAGGGGCTTGTGGGATCTCGGGTGGTCACATGCTAAATCGGATGACAACAGCTACCTCTTAGCGATCCCAGGTTAAACAAAACTAAAGACTCCTCAGCCCCACAAAGGCACTTACTGTATGCGCTCACTTAGCACACACTGAGGCCCCAGCACCATTCTGAAGGGCACCATGAGATTCCCTGAAAATCATCAGCTTTTCTCCTGCCCTGCTCTGTTTATTGATTTATTTTTTGGAGGCAGGGTTTTGCTGGCCTTGAACTCACTGTGTAGCCCGGGATGGTCTTGAACTCACAGTGACCTCCTGCCTCAGTCTCCTGCATGCTGAGATTACATGTGTGCACCACCACACCTGGCTTCCTTGCCCATATCCTTCAGCACTGTGGAGGAGGGGCCACTGACCTCCCTTCTGGCGTCCCTGGGAAGCCTTGGACCCACAGAGCTGCAAGCTGGGGCTGAATCCGAGGCCTGGAGTTTGCCTTCTTGCTTCTCCCACCCTGTGGCAGCTGCTGTGAACGGCTCTGAGTTTAAACCACACTGGGGCTATGGAGTCCTGACTACCAACTTTGAGATAGTGAAAAGATAGCGTGTGGCATGGAAGGACTTGCCCTTCACCGTTAACCACTCACTCTAGGGTTATAAATAGAAATAGAAGGGATTATTGATCTGTCTGTGAACTAGAATTTAAAAATCTAAAAATTGAGTACTTTTGGTTTTGAGCAGGTAAACAGTTTTTAGCTATGAAACACAGCATGACTGAGGAGGAGACATTTGGGTTTGAGGCCCTGCTCTGCCACTCTGGCTCTCTTTTTCCCTTGGGCAGGCTGTTTGATCTCTACAAGCCTCAGCTTCCTGTTGGCATCATGAGGAAGAATGCATGTCTTGAAATTTGGAAAAAATGCACACAGTTTGCACTCCCTACACATGTCACCTATGGCTGCTGTAACCGCAGATACTGCTGCTGTTGTGCACTGAGGGCCCTGACTGTGTTTATGTTGCTGATGATGAAGGCCCAGCAATGTGAGCTTGACTTCAAGCAGCCAAGTTGTCAGAGGGCCCCTCCTTGATGCCGCATGCTTTGGAATGGTGTTCACACGTGCATCTATGTGCTTGCGTGTTTCTGTCTCTTCCTTTGCTCCATGTAACCTCAGAATTGCGTTTACTTAGCCAGGCACAGTGGGGCTCTTCTGTAATCTCAGTACTCTGGGAGCCTGAAGCAGGAGAATTGAGACTTTGAGCTGTTCCAGACAACTTAATGACTTATCAGAACCTGTCTCAAAATAAAAAAATTAAAAAGGGGTGGGGATGTAGCTCAATACAAAGGCTCTTTCTCAGTAGTGAAAAAAATAAAAGAGGGGGTGGGGATTGGAAATCACTTAATTTGTTTAGAATCCTTAGGCCCCTTTCTTGACTGTTTTAAGAAGGACAGAGACTTGACCATGAATCTGATTTTTTTCCTGTGTTTGCTAGATCCACATTAGAATGCTCGAAGGCCCCAGATGCCCTGGTGGGACAGGTGAACAGGCCATTTATGGGACATAGGATTGGCTCAGGCTCCAGGGCTGTGGTCCCCTTGTTGTCCCAATCTTTGGGACTAAGTGTTGGCATTGGCTTTGGCAGATGGCGGTTTTAGTTCTCTAAAGAAGAGTTTGGGGGCTGCAGAGGACACTCAAAATCTGTTCCTCTGTGAGGGAGCTACACACGAGGCCATCTCTACCTGGTGGCATTCACATCCAAGTGGGCCTGCATGACTGCTTGCCCTGATTGAAATGATGAAAATGGAAGGCTCAGGAATCCATGCAAAAGAACATTGTTTTATTATGGCCTGGCTGGTTTCATTTGAACAAGCCTTCTCTGGTGGAGAGGGAATTATTTTCAGCTGCAATAATTTTATCAGAATCGCTGCACTCCCTTGTCCTTGTTTCTGACTCAGTTCTGAAAGGGACTCTAGCTTGTATGGTAAAGATCTGCAGATCATCCTGAGGTCCAAGAGGGATTGAGAGCCATGGAGCTCAGAGTCCAGATTTTCAACCTTGAGGTGCTGCCCTGAGGCCTAAGGACATTGGGGGTGACATCAGGCAGATGACAGTTTGCTTTTCCTGTTCAGCCAATGTGTGCTTCAGGTTATATGGGGGGACAAATACAAATGCAGCTTGGCCCCTCTCCTCCAAGCGTTTGCAGATAGTTCAGGGTAACACGGAAGCAGAATGGAGGAGAGGCACCAGAGAGGATCCCAGAGCACAGGCAGAGTCTCAGGATCCTGAAGGAGTTGAGCAGGGAGATCGATGGCCAGGGAGGGTGACCTAAGCAGGGGACGATGCTGAGCAGAAGTACAAGCAGGCCTTTGTTGCCTGCTCCAGGTTCCAGAGACTACCACTGTCCTTTAGGCCACAGCAAGTGTCTTCACCCGTGGGCTAAGGAAGGAGCCGAGTCTGTGGCCAAGGAGGGGTGTTGGGAGGTGCAAGAGGGTGCGGTCCCCTCGGTGTCAGACCGTTGGCCTTGGTGGGACTTTTTCCTCCAGGTCACCACACTACTTCCTTGGGACCTGTCACCAGCACAGCAGGCTGCTGTTGGGATAGCTTGTCCTGCAGCTTAACGCTCCCTGATTTTTGTCCTGCCAGTATGTTGGGTTTTATTCACAACTGGGAGGCACCTGGTGGGGATGGGGACAGGGTTGGGGATGGGGATGGAGCACTCGGTTTGCTAAAAGCTCTTCCGCTTGCTTTTGCAGCGCACGTGGAAAATGAGGAGCAGTACACCCAGGCCCTGGAGAAGTTTGGTGGCAACTGTGTGTGCAGAGATGACCCAGATTTAGGGAGTGCGTTCCTGAAGTTCTCCGTGTTCACCAAGGAGTTGACAGCGCTGTTCAAAAATCTGGTCAGTGTCGTGTGTGTGTGTGTGTGTGTGTGTGTGTGTGTGTTCACATGTGTGTGTGCAGTTAGTTATACCACACAAGACACTTCTGTCACTGCCTTTCTTGGGAGAGAATAAATAGTTTGTTTAATAAACTAGGAAAACATTTCACAGCTCCCGTGGACCCTATTTTTTGTATACATGGTATTGATTTGGAATAAAGTGGAAAGTTGTAATCTTTGCTCTAACAGGACTTTTAAAATTCAGCTTGGCATTTTAAATATGCCCAGCTGCAGGACAGAACGGGTAGACTCATTCATCTTCATAAGGGCCTCTGGAGCTCCGGTTTTTAATAGTTTCTAAAGTGTGTGGAATAGTCTTTGTTGCTGGTAATTACAGCAGGCATTCATAATGATAATATTTAATAAATATGTTCCAGACCCGTCTTACACAGCCAGGTAACCTATCATCAAAGCACAGAAATTACCGTGAATATTTAAGGGCCTTTTGTGTTTCCAAATATAGAGCCTAAAAAAGCAGAGCTGGAAGGAATGTCTCAACTTTTTGGGCAAGTGGAAGTGCAGGCTTGGTAACGGGGGTGGTGAGGTGAGGGGTGAGTAGGTGAATTGAGCCTTTCTTGAGCTTGGCAGCCCTGTATCGTCCTCACTGTGGGAACAGAATTCTGAAGATGTAGGCAGCCAAGAGCCGTTCATGACCCTGCCCGGGTGGTTTCTTCCTGGAGCATTGCTCCAGCATCTTTCCTGTTTTTCTTCCCTGGCTTCTCCTAAAGGTCACAGAAGACTGGGTTGGGAGCTCAATAATGCTCTCTCTGTAGGTCACAAACAGCAGCGTCTTTTTCATGTCTTCATGTTTTCATGTTAGTGAGCTCATAACAAGTGAAAAAACAGCTTGTCATTCTTGAGCTGGTAGTGGTGGTGGTGGTGGGTTTGTGAGTCTGACCTTAGAAGGGCACAAACCAGGGAACATAATATGTGAGTTAATAATGGGAAGGACAGAGTAAGATCATTAAGGCTCTTCGTCTTTCTCTCTAACTTCACATGGTAAAAATAAAAAGCTGTCACTGTGCTTAAGTTTTTTACTTAGGTGAATTTGAAATCTCTTGGCTGTGATCAAGGTCATTTCTCTCTGTCTCTGCCCCAAAGACTGGGGCTGCCTTTGTGCTGAGTAGCAGAGCCCTCTCAGCCCCTAAGTTCTGGCAGACATGCATTGTAGGGGTTCATCACTGAGTCAGAAGAGACTGGAGGATTTATTTTTCCAAAACGGAGAAGCTGCATGGTCCCAGAGCAGAGTTCTGTGGAGGGTAACATGGCAATGTTTTCTGGTAAAAATCTCCCAGCCCCTTCCATGCATGCACAGTGGCCCCTCAGCTTTCTGGTTGCTGGGACACAATACCTAATCACCCACAACTTCAAGAAGGAGGAGAGAGCAGAGGATTTAGCTCAGTGGGTCTGCCGCCGCCTGCCTTGCAAATGCAAGGTCCCAAGTTCAATTGTGGTACAAAAAAACAAAGAAGGAGGAGAGGTTTAATTTGGCTCATGGTTTCAGGGAATTCAGTCCATGATCCACTGGCTCCTGGGCAGAAACATCATGGCAGAGGAGTGTGACATCAGAAAGATGCTTAGTTCATGGCGGCTAGGAAGTGGAGCAGGGGAACAGTGCTAGAGAGGAAGAAGCCAGGGAGCAGACAGAGATCTTATGGTCGCCCTCTGTGATGCACCCAGAAGTGTGCCACACCTATCTCCCCTGGTGAATCCCAAAGCCAGTCACGTTGACCCTCCACCCTGACCACCACAGCTTCTGAGTGAGTACTTCCCACTTCAGCATACGTGGATGGTATCCAGAGCAGAAGAAACCAAAGTAAGCAGAAAAGGAGTTAGCGGAAATGGCAATGCAAAGAGCAGAGGAAGACATTAAAGAAACTGTACTTAATCTCTCAGAAAAATTAGAACAGGCACTATGTCAGAGGATGGTGGACTATGGATGGTTGGTTGTTAAAGAAGGTGGGGGAGGAGGACTACTAATGTAAGAAAATGTAAAACCAGAGATCCAACAAGAAGAGTTGGAGTAGAAAAAAATCTCTTTGGAAACAGATTAAAACGAAAACGAAAAGGATAGGTAGGAAACACAAAAAATGAGAGTAATCCCCAAGGCCTAGCATGGGGCCGACGGGTATTTTCGAAAGAGGACAGAGTGTGGGGGGGTATTGAGGGTGTAGCACATAGCTGGCCTGTGCCTCCAGGTGGAGGGCGCCCAGGTGCCCAGAGCAATGAGGGAGGAGGCCTACCCCAGGGCAGCTTGACAGGAAGTCACCACACATCCCCAAAGCTCCAGAGAGCACACGGTCCAGATTTAAAACAGTGCTGGGCTTCTGAACAGCATCACTGGGCTCTAAGGTGTGGAACAGCACTGTTGATGTCCCACAGAAATAGCTCCCCCTGGACTCAGACCCAGCACATTGAGCAGAAGCATAGAATTGAAGATATTCTCACACACATAAAGCTTGAAAAACTTCAGTCTTGTGTGTCCTCTCTCCCAAACTCCTTCAGGATGTGCTTTAGCAAAATGAAGGGGGAAGCCAAGAAAGAAGAATGGAGAATTGGGAGCTCCTGTCCACTGCAGAGGGGCGGCAGTGAAAGGGCATCCCAGTAGGGTGGCAGAGGGCGTCCCGGCAGGGCTGCCGAACAGAAGCCCAGAGAGCAGCCTGCCTGGGCAGCTGGGAAAGGCCGTGCCCTGGCACTCCCCCCGCCCCGCCGACAGCTAGCTTTGTGTCTTTGTGCTCCCTGGACTTACTTATCTGTGAAATGGAGATCATGCTTGACTTGATTTTGTGTGTTGCTCTTACACATTTTATTTAGTACTTGTCAGAGTCCTAAGATGAGTCAGTGTTATCCCTGCTTTATAGATTGGATAACCGAGGTCCTTGAGGGCGTGAGGAGCTTGCATTTCTCTGGGGAGCTAGGGTCCTCTGGTGTGGCCTCCCAGAGTAGAAGGGCCTACCAACTTGTACTCAATTACCTACAAAGGCAGCTGCATGCTTAAAGCAGCCCCTCTTTTCTTTTCTTTTTAATATTTTCTGCAAAAGTAGAATGCAGGGAGGACCTGGATGTCATAACTGGCACATTGCTCCTCATGCCATGGTTTCACTACTTGCAGGACTTCAGAGCTCACTGCTGATCTGAGCTGCTCCCCCACTTGCCTCAGGGAAGAGACAGCTCAGAGGTCATGTTGTGGTGAGGACCAAGGACGTCATCTCAGGGACTGCAGGAGGTTCAGGGGACCTCCTTAAGTGAGGGATTGAGTTGGGATTCAGATCCAGGCTGTATAGTTCCAAACCTGTGGTGTTTCCGCTGTGACATTTAAAGGAGCCAAGGCCCGTTGTCAGATCCTTGGAGAAGAAAAACACTGAACAGAAGGGAAGGCAGTGCAGGAGAGAGAGGCAAGCGGGTTCCTCATCGTCTCATCTTCTGAGCAGGGCCAGTGTGGCTGGGAACCGGGGTGTCATCCATTAGTCTTTTAGATCTGTGAACTTAGCTTTGAGTACCTGTGCATTGCTTTCATTTCGGCTTTTACTTTTTGGAGTTGGAGTTCTTGATCCTGTTTTCCAGTGAAGATCAAAAAGAGAAAATTCCTATTTGAGCCCAAATCAGCATCCATCAGGCCTGCTGCTGCCACCCATGCTGGTGTGGAAGCTGTCCGCCCTAGGAATGCCAAGCAGTGGCTTCAGAGAAGCTGGCCCGAGGCTGAGCTGCTTCCAGGAGGATTCTCCTTTTTTGGTATTTTGTGTACCTTTCTCACTCCCATTTTTGGTCATATCTGTCCTAGCTCACATTTTCAGAGCTTTTCCTTTGTTTTCCCTTAAGCATTTAACAAACATTTCATTTCTGTAGGGATAAGATTCTTAATTCCACCTCTTGTCCAGAGAGAATAACTCCCACCTGCCCACTTCGAGGCCTGAAAGGATGTTGATGAAGCAGTTGGAATACGCGCAGAATGCCAACTTAGCGTAAAGGAAGGTATTCTTCCTCACCTTTAGAAAATAAGAGTTTCCCCTGTAGTCACACGGGCTACAGAGAGAAACCAGGCAGCTCCAGAACTGTAACTTGTATGACATTAAACAGTCATAACGTGGCATTTTAAGTTCTTTTCCTCTTCCCAGATGGATGTGTGAATCTGGAGGGATTTTGCAGGCACTTTTTGTGGTGAGCAGTGGCTGGCTAGGGATGGGCTGAGCAGAGGACGGATTCCTGAAAGGTTCGTGCAGGTCAGTGGTTTCTGTTGGACTCGTGATCCATGGAGGAGACTGGCATCAGCTAGAAGCAGAGGACAGCGGTGCTGGGCTGAGAACTTTCAGGTCACACACTGAAGAGGAGCCTGAGCGTCCACCACCAGGCAGTGTGTTCCTGAGTCACCAGGGTTAGAAGACAGCCAGAGAGGAAAGGAAGCTAGCAAAGTTCTGTTGGAGAGCAGCAGCTCATGGCCTTGTAGTCAGATGGGCCTGGCGGGAGGGGCCCCCCTCACCTGGCCGGTCTTCCCCACTATCCAGCTTCCGCAGATCACGAGCTGATCCCCCACATTGATGCAGCTGCCTCGTCCCTTCATGTGGAGATCTTATACTAGAAGCTTCATCCCAGTGCCCCCATTGTCTTTCTTTTTAACTTTTTTATTGAGAGTGGCTTATGTCTTAAACATGTTCTAATCACTTTTACTAAATAGGGACACTGGTCCAACTCCACCTTTTGGGGAGAAGACTTAATCCTTTTTGGCATCAGCTCATGAACTATGCAGAAGTCTAGAGAAACCTCCAGCAGTTTGTGTGTTTGGGAGTATCTGTCCCTAGGCTTTGAATCACCAGTTACCTGCTTTTTAATATTCTGACTCTTTCCTGCTGGCTGATATGTTTATCCCTGTCAGTACTTACCTCTGATGCTGGGAACTGGCAAACGAGATGATGTGGCTTGCTGGCCTTTTGGCAAATTAGAAGTCCACAGGGTTTGTGTGAAGAG